GTGACTGTCCCTGGCGGTGAAAATAAGTGATTTTTTTATCATCATTGTGAATCATAAGCATTATCATTCTGAAGAGATATTTCGAGATTTTATATGTGTTGTAAGTTGTGGTTGTTGCAGATGTAGTTGTCCTTTGCGGTTGTTGATGTAGTTGTGGGGGGGGGGATATTGTGGGGGTTGTTATTGCGGTTGTTGTATTTGTTATTGTGGTTAATGGGGCTGTAGTTTTGGCTGCTGTGGTTGTGGTTGTGGTTGTGGGAGGACTTTTTTTCTGCACAAAACCAATTTGGTGTCTTTTTTTCTGTCCGCTCGAGTGTGATCGTACAATGCTAAGATGGATGTGGTTGTGGTTGTGGTAGTTGCTGTGTGGTTTACGTGGTTGTATGGTTTAAGTAATGAGGCATTTAGTCAGCCCCTAAGGAGGAAGGGAGGGAGGGGGGGGGGGGGTTATGTGGTCGTCTGGGCAGCGTCTTGGAAGCTATGTGGTCGAAGTAGTTGGTACAACATACATCCGACAGTGACGACCACATGGGCAGTGGTAGTGACAAGTAGAACCCACAAGTAATAAGAAATGATAGTTTTTCTTTCTTTCTTTATCTATCTCTCTCTCCTCTCTCCGTTCTTTTCTCTCTCTCTCTCTCTCTCTCTCNTATAATATATATATATATATATATATATATATAATTTGATAGAAACGAATAAATTAAAAGGGTAAGTAGTGTAACCCACCCCTATATATATATCATATGACTGAATTTGTTAATGTTATTGCATGTATCAAGTGTCATATACTACGTAATTTACATAATTAGTCACATATGTAACTTCATACGAACGCATTCATAGGTACATATACACGATCACTACTTTACTTGTTTATTCATCTCTTCTTGTCATACTGGAGATTCCAAAATAATGTTGTGCATCTCCTTCCACAAGAGATGTTTATTGTTGCAATACTACCTCTCTTGACCACCGATTGGCAGATGTTAAACATGTAATTTATTGCCCTCCTTAGACCACTCTACACCATGACAGACACACCCCCTGCAGGGAGCCAAGGACCAACACCCCGTTCCTTGGAGGAGCACCCTCACTTCGACGTTATTACTCCTTAAACAAAGGAATCAAGACGTCTTGCTTGTCTTCCTTAAACCTAAGCTCGCCATTTAACATACTCTCGCAGGGTCCATCTCCCAGGACTTTGTAAATGGTGGCAGCGGTGGGATACGAACCCACTCTTACGGTCAATAAAGCAGTAATATTGTAGACGATAGGAAATAAAGAGAGACAGACAGACAGGAAAAGGTGATGAATAGACAAAATGAGAAAGAAAGGTAAAAATATAACGTCACCTCCCTCCTTCCCGCAGGCATGTTGGAACTGCTTGCGGGGAACAGCAGCGAGGCCGTCACCCTGAGAGAACACATTGTCTTCAAGATCATCCCAATGATGAACCCGGATGGAGCTTACCTTGGGAATTACAGGTGAGAGAGGGAGAAAGGCGAGGGGGGAGAGAAGGGGAGGAGGAAAAATTGTGGAGGAGAGAGAGGAGATGATGGATAGTGGGAGAGATTGGGGAGAGGGAGGAAAGGGCGATGTGGAGGGGAGAGAGAGGAGATGATGGGGAGAGGGAGGAAAGGGAAATGAGGGGAGAGAGAGGAGATGATGGGGAGAGGGAGGGAAGGGAGATGGGGAGGGGAGAGAGAGGAGATGATGGGGAGAGGGAGATGTGGAGGGGAGAGAGAGATGATGGAGAGTGGGTGAGATTGGGGAGAGGGAGGGAAGGCAGATGTGGAGGGGAGAGAGAGAAGAGGTGATGGGGAGTAAGAGAGATTGGGGAGAGGGACGGAAGAAGAAGGGAGGGAAGGGATATGTGGAGAAGGAAAGGGAGAGGTATTGGGGAAGGGGCGAGGGGATGAGAGATGGTAGACGAGGGAGAAGAATTGGGGGAAAGGGAGAGATGGTATGGGAAGAGAGATGGAAGAGGAAGAGGGATAAGGAAGGAGACGTGGAGGGGATAAATAGAGGAAGGAGGAGAAGGAGAGGGAAGGGGAAAGAGATGTGAGGGAAGAGACCCTTTCGCCCTTTGCATCCTTTCCCCCAATCCTTACCCTACCCTACCCCATTCCTCCGCCCCGCCTCTTACTCCACTCCTCTACCTACCCCTCAGCTTCTGTCCCTTCCCCACTTCCCCACCTACCTACCCCTTACCCTTCCCCACCTCCACCCACCACTAACCCTTCCCTCTAACGCCTCCCAGGTTCCCCACATCCTACCCCTTCCCTGCTTCCTTCCAATTCCCCAACCTTTTCTTCCTTCCATTTTCCCTTACCCCTCTCCTCTACCTCCCTACCCTAACCCCACTTCCCTCCATGCTCCCACCCTTCTCCCCTTTTCAGCCCCTCCTCCCCTTCCCCTTCCCATCCCCTCTTCCCCTCTCCTTCCACCTTCCTACCCCTCCCAACCTTTCCCCATCCCCATTTCCCTCCACCTCTCC